AAAAAAAAACATTTTTTATGATGTTTAACTTAAAATTTCTTCCTTTTTTAGGATGGCTCGCGGCATGATGATTGTAGAAGACAATCCGGATGTGTCCCATTGGACCTTTGACAGAGATTATGATCAACTGTTTAACAAAAAGAATGACGAATACCCACGTCGCATAAGTGCCTTATATGAACGTACATTTCAGATTGCATTCAAAGTGCACCGTCATGACAATGAGAAAATGTGCAAAGGTAATGATCAATGGTTCAAAGTGACATTGACACCACCGGGCGAGGTAATTTCAATGTCACGTAATGCTTTCCGTGTTCCAATCGGAGCTGAATCCATAATCACAATCAAACCCAAGCTCACTCATACATCGGAAGGACTACGGAACTATGAGCCGAATCAACGCAAATGCTTTTATCAGCATGAACGACAGCTACGTTTCTTTAAAATTTACTCCGAACGTAACTGTGAGGAGGAGTGTCTGTCTAACTTCACAAAAATCGAATGCGGATGCGTTAAATTCTCAATGCCAAGTTTGTTGTAACATTGATAAACCATAAAATCCATTTGTTTGTCAGTTTCATTGTTTTAAATTTTTAGGAGATAAAGAAACAAAAATCTGTGGTGGTGCAAACATCAAGTGTTACGAGTCGGCTGAAAGAAAACTACTGGCTGCTGTTTCAGCAAGTGTTAAATCATACCGTGACCAATGCAATTGTTTGCCGTCATGCCGTTATACCCAGTATAATCCATCAATTGATAGAATCATGTTCAAAACCGATGAAATATCATCGAATGGGTATAGAATTTTTTTTAAATACCGACTTAACACGCTTTCTTCGTTCCAGATGAATTAATAGATAAAAAAAACTCATGTTTGCTATTGTTCTGTTTGAAATGGTAGGAAAATGGTAATGTTAACCATTAAATTCAAGGACTATCAGTTACTAGATGTTGAAAAGCGAACGGAATTATACACAAACTCGGATTTTCTATCGGTTTGTGGTGGTTTGCTTGGATTATTCATGGGCATATCAGCCCTCAGCATTATCGAACTGATTTACTTTGCTACTCTTCGTTCATTCTGGCTCATTCGTCGCTCGAAATTCCAAGATACAGTGTTATCAAACGAAGGACATTTCTGCAAGATCTTTCCCGTTCAGTGGTGGTTCGATGGGCGGTTTTCATCATTGAAGACATTCATCAATGAATTGTGCGACAACAGCAATATTCATGGACTTCGCTATTTTACCGAACGATTGTTACATTACAGTGAAAGGTTAGATGAGAAATCGTAATTTTTTCAATCAAAAATAAATCATGAAAAAACTTGATCTATTCATTCAGAAATTTCCATTTTACATATTGATTCTACAGACTTTGGTGGCTCTTTTCAGTCGGTGTAGCACTTTATTTGTGTGGTTCTATGATTCGAAATGTATTTATTTATTGGCACAATTTTCCATCTCACTTAAGTAGAACCGAAAAACTGGCATCGATTTCAACAATCCCCTTTCCAACAGTTATCATTTGTCCGGAAATCAAAGCTGTAAAACATAAACTGAATGTTGACGAGGTGCTCAAATCACTATCAAATTTATCTGATACTGAGTAAGTGTGCCATTGAAGTTTCTAATTGAATATTATACTACTGTGTCCAAAAAGTAAGGTGACATTGCATTTATTTTGAAAATTCTTTATTTATTCTTCCAAATCAATTTCATCGCCTTCAAAGTAATCCCCTCCCGATACAATGCACTTATGCCAACGGATTTTCCAATCTTCGAAACAGTTGAAAAAGTCGACTTCAGGGATGGCCCTCAGCTCCGTCTTCGCTGCGGCTTCAATCTGCTCTATCGTCTCAAAACGGTGTCCCCGGAGCGGTCTTTTGAGCTTGTTGAACAGCCAGAAGTCGCACGGTGCCAAATCAGGTGAATACGGTGGTTGTGGAACGATATGAGTCGAGTTTTTGGCGAAATGTTCACGAAGAATGATCGCATTGTGAGACGATGCATTATAATGGTGCAAAAACCAAGAGTTGTCTTTCCACAATTCCGGCCTCTTTTGGCGGATAGCGTTACGCAAACGACGCATAACACTCAAATAATATTCCTTGTTGACTGTTTGACCCGGGGGAAGGAACTCATAATGCACAACACCCCGATAATCGAAGAAAACAGTCAACATGACCTTGATTTTTGAGCGACTTTGGCGCGGTTTTTTTGGTCTCGGCTCACCTTTGGCACGATATTCGCTCGATTGGTCGGTTGTTTCCGGGTCGTAAGCATAGATCCAAGTCTCGTCTCCAGTGATCATGCATTTCGTCTTGTCAATGTAGTCAGAAAGCATTGTTTCACACACGTCAACTCGACACCTTTTTTCCAAAAAATTCAATGATTTCGGTACCAGTCGAGATTTGACGCGTTTGAGGCCCAAAACATCCTTCAAAATGGTATTGACTGAGCCTTTCGATATGCCAATATCATCAGCAAGGTCTCTAATCGTTAATCGACGGTTTTCCAACACCAAATCTTTAATTTTTTGGACGTGAGCTTCGTCGGTTGAGGTTGATGGTCGCCCAGCACGCTCTTCGTCTTCGACACATTCACGGCCTGCTTGGAACTCACTATACCACTTGTAAACATTTTTTTTCGACATAGCCTCATCACCAAAGGCTTTCTGCACCATCCTCAACGAATCCGCAGCAGAAAATTGATTCCGCAAACAAAATTTAATGCAAATTCTTTGATCAACAAATTTCGACATCGCAAAAAACGAGAAATTCACTTTTAGCAGTCCACAAAACGAAGCGTATCTCAAACACTAATGAATATTTTGACGTGTAATTTGGCAGGGATGTCAAAGACAGTCCTACCAACCTAAAAATAAAAGGATTTTTTCAAATTCCCCAGCGCGCTAAATTTTAAATGCAATGTCACCTTACTTTTTGGACACAGTAGTATTGAAACGTTTACTTATGTCGATTTAGTCGAGTGCGATTAAATGCATTGAGCCATGTATGCGCATTGTTGAATCCAGAGTTGAAAGTACAACACTTTAACTGGGTAAAAAATTCTTTACCAAAAATTATCTTAAATAACACAGTGCAACACATGGATGAGGGACTCACTTTAACTAATCGCTCCTGAGAGTACTTACCAAAACTAGAATTTCTGCATCTTTCTTTTTGCCAAGTTGGTTCATTGGTGAATTTTAATGAAATTATGTATTTTTTGCTCAAACTTGATTTTGAGCACTTTTTCGATATTTTGAGACGGCTATATCTCGGTAAACCGTAAGAAATATTGCTTTTGTCTCTTCGGCAAAGTTGTAGGTATTGAATAGGA